TTTCTGAAGCAAGGAAAAAGGGCAGATTTAAGGTTTGAAGTGTAGAGTAGAAACATGTGTTGTTGATATTTCATAAGGAAGACCTATCTGATATATGTGATATTTTGATATGCAAACAGTTGATGGATGCTTGCAGATACTTCTTAATTTACCATATCCTTAAACTTATAACACTTGTTAGACGTTTCAAACTTAATTTACCATATCTTTTTTCATAGAAGCTCTTTTTTCTCTTAATTCTGGAGCACCTGAATCATGCTAGTACAACCATCATTATCCACACAAATAAAACTAAGAGAGAAACAACAGAGAATACACCTAATCAAGGGTAATCCAATCCTGAGTTTCCTGCCAGCACAATTTCAATCTGGACAATCAAATAGCAACCATGTTAGCCGAAATGAATTAAGCACGCATCTTTGCCTACAGTTTTGCAACCCTAACGCTAATACAGATCGCCCTTTGCTTCTAATGCGAGTCCATTAACCGCTAGTCTAACGTATACTCTGTCACAGTATGTTGTGCTATCAAGACAGAGGGCGTTGAACTCACATGAGTTCTTCACTCCAGTTAATGTTTTCTTCATACATTAACCTAGTTGGTTATTCGTTAATGTATGAACTCAATTTCAGATCAATCACGATTATTGCAATGGCCACCCCTTGAATTTTCTTTCTCCTAATCAGGGACTTAAAAGCTCGTGATTATCTATCATCGCAAATTTCCGATGGATCATAATCCTCATCAGAAGCAACATCCCATGCAGCCACTACCTTTTGCTTGGTAGAAAGTCAGTTTTTTTTTACTGGTGAAGTCCCCGCATTATTGGTCATGCAATTTGAGCTCGAGCAGAAACAATGGATGTACGTATGTCTTAACATTTAGTTTTTTTCTAAATGTTTCATATTCTCCTTAACCGAATAATGTTGACATTTGATTTAGTTATTTTAGTCATTTGCAAATCAAAAAACCATAACATGCAACACCTAACTTTTTAAGCTTTGGCGCGCAAATGGATTCAAAAAGATGTTTATGAAAATCTACACCTTTTTATGTATTATTTAAGTCTGTACCTTTTTATTTAAATCCAAAATGAAGATGGATCAGGAGGAGGCATAATAAAGTACATGGATCCACTGTTAACGTCCATACATGAGATAAAATTAAACACTTGCAGGATATTCTCAACATATCTCAGTATAAAATTATAGCAAATACATCATAAAGTTACCTTTAGTTGGAGCTGTGAATAAGAAGAATCAACCATTCCAAAGTGGAATTCCTTGTATCATACCTGAAATTTACGAAACCAAACGCATGAAAAAGTAAGAGAAATTTACCAATCCAAATCAAGTTGTCATAATACACAAAAAAGAAAAAGAAAGATATAACAAAAGAAAAAACTACCTCATTTCGTGGCTGATGGCTGCTTGCAGATGAACGAGGATGATCATGATTTCGAGCACTACCACCTTGATCAGGTGATCTTGTGCGTGCAATAAGTCTTGCAATAGCCGCCGGATCAATTGTTTGCCCAAGTGTTTCAGTGAAGAGCTCGGCGAAACCATGAACCAAATCTGCCTTCTGCTCTTCAAACTTTTTTGTCAACTCTTGCTCAACTTTTTGTGATATAGTTTGACCAACAGATTCTGAAACTTGCTCAGAGGGATCCATGATCTTTTTATTTTTATTTTGGAGCATGGTTTTAGTGACACCCCTCCCCCTAAGATGTACACGTCCAGGATGTTCATCTTTCTTGACTAAATCCCATGCATCATCAGCTTCATCTTGAGATTTGAGTTCTTCTGAAGCACCCTGCATTAGCAAAATTTATATTTAGTTGCTATGCATGTTATATGAAAATTAGGACCTAAAAAGCAATATATGAATATTAATATTTAGGAAATATGGCACATTCTTACTATCAAATTGATTGTTTTCTCTCCTTGTGGATTTATCTTCTTTTTACGGGTCTCAATAAACATTTCAGCTTCACTTGGAGGTCTTCCCAACTCATTTTCCTATAATAAAGACATGATAGTTAAAATATTGATAAATACATTAAAAACAAACAAAAAGAAAGGATGCAGTTAATAAGTAACACTAAAAAAATTTTTAAATACCATTTTTTTGCAAATCCTCGCAAAACTTATTGTCCCCGTAGTGTGCACATATTCTAGACCTTCACGATTTGCTTTGTTGGTCTCACTTGTTTTCTACACATATAGAAGGAACATGGATTTAAATAACAACCAGACCATTAGTATGAAACGATAAACGAGTGAACAAGAAACGATAAACGAGCCTATAACTCCTGTAAGTATGAATTTAATAATTTATGTATGCATGTTTTTTTTTCCACTTAATTTCTTTGCAAATCTCCTTATTCCTCAGGAGAAGGGTGTTCAGGCCCAGCTAATCTCCTCCTCTCTCTCTCCTCACTTAATTTCTCCCACTGTAGATCTCCTTATTCCTCAACTACCTGGGACCCGCTATTGCTCGAGCTCCTGACCCCCTGGCCCATCCTCGACCCCTCCCTCTCCCCTCTCCCTAATGCTTTCTGAACAAGAGCGAATGTGGCGGAAAACGTAAACCGACAGGTATCTTGGTCATTGACATACAAAATTACAAGACCCTTTAGGATTTTGAGGGCCTGATGAACAAGTCCAGAGAGTTGAGGATTAATATAAAAACATTGAAAGGTTTGAGGGACTATTATCTATATAGTCCTTCCCATAGAGTTGTTTAGATTCCTTGAAATAGAAATTGATGGAACCGAGTATTAAAGAGACATAAACCATGTCACTTTACGATATTCACTGTACACACTCATCAAGGTGAGGCATCAGAATCAAAACATGAGAAGAAAAAAGGACAGGCCAACATTGTTTCATTCCCTTACCCTGTTAATAACAAGGTTAAGGACTCCAAGCACAAAAGGACATGCAAACAAGCAAATGCACGCATCATCCTCTAGCTGTGAAGGGCTACCACAAGAGAGAAATAAATAGTGTTTGTATGTTGTATAGGACTCACATAGACTGGGCTTCCCTTTTTTTTCCCTCCCAGACATAAAGCTCAAATTCCTTCTTTCTGAATCTCAATCAGCCCAGCGATGTCAGGTTTCAGAGTAGACAAAACTGAGGATTATTTACATAAAACAAATACTTTAAAATTGATGTTTCAAAATAATACTATTTCGAAACTAGTATTAGGGGGGAAATCTAATAAAGTAGAAAGATAGAAGCTGATGGGCAACTATGAAAGGAGAATTTTGAATGCGAAGCAGGAAAATTCTTCTCATGTTACAAACTGGGAGGAGTTTTATATTGCATAAATATTCTACTCCAAGATGACTTATCAAAGAAGGGAAAGCTCATGTTTCGAAATAATACTTTAAGATTGATGCTAGAACAGAAACTGCATGTCTGTTTTCTCATTTACCTTTGATTGTTCAGAGTTCCAGAATTTAAGCAAGGCTTTAAATTCTATTTCAGGTATAGTATTTGGCCGTGTCTTTAGTCTTTGTTTTTCATTTTTGAACCCGTCAAAACACTTCTTCTTCAATATGGACTTCCAGCGCCTCCATGCACAATTGACAGTTTCTAGGGTCCATTTTTTTCCATCCTCCGGAATGTCATATTTTTCCTACATTAACATAATTTGACAATAAACAAAATTTTGATCATAAATACTTGATATAAATAAGAGGGAAAGAACAACAGGAAATATTGATTAATTATAAAACTCGTACCTTAACATAATTCCATATTTTTTCTTTATCTTTTTCTTCAACTTTGTGCCAATTTTCCTTATGCAGAGGTGCAAAACTTGAGTTTCTTCCAAGTGTGCCAAAGAAACTGCTAAGTTCACTGCATGCCTTATCTGACGGTCCGATGGGTTGTCCATATCCATTTAAAAAAATAACTTGTCGATCATGGACACTTCGTGCATGAATTTTTTCACATTTAGTTTGCCCTCGATATTTTTTGGGTTTGTCTACCACTTTATTGGCTACCTGTCTTGTTGGTTGTTCCCTTAATAAAATCCTCCCAAATTTTTTCCTCTTCTTCTTGCTCATCATGTTCACTAACATCTCCTTCAGCATCTTCTATGAAATCCTCTCTAATATCTTCCTCTTCATCTTCTATGTTGGCCGAGTGTTCTCCTCTTGCGATCACCTTTATTTGTGCATGATTGTGAAGTTGTTGTCGTGCCTTACTAGATTGTCCCTTTTGCTCTATGATTTTTTTCCGAATATCTCGCTACGCATTTTCTATTTCATCCAACGAATATCTCGCTCCGCATTTTCTATTTCATCCAACATTTTCTCCTCTCTTGATTGTCTCATACGAATCATTTTCTTCTTTGTCTGCACCTCTAACTCTTTTCTTTGTATTGCAATATTTTTAGTAGGTGGTTCACATATATTGGGCGCATGCTTTCTCATAATATCCATATTATTTACCCGATTATGTTCTTTTGAGCGCACTTGTGGACATGTCGTTGCCACATTTGTAATCTGTTTCGGAGGATAAAAGGTTCTGTTTTGCTTCTTTTTGTCACCACGCCCATATTCTGCGCTCGTAACCTATAATTTCATTTATACAAAGGAGAGAAACAAGGATTCAGGACATACCTTCGACCTTGAGGCAGGATTTGCGCGATTCTTACGCTTGCTTGGATGAATAGTTGGATCTATTGGAACTCTCGGAAGCTTACTAGCAGCATTTTGCTTCTCTTGTTTAACTTTGTTAAAGATAACAGTGAACCCATCTCCTGATTTAGGACCCTTTTCATCCCAAACACCGAATTTTGGCACTGAAGGTGTTTTGTGCATCTGTTCCAAAAAAGTTCAAATGAAGAACTCGTCTAAAATTTCACGCTAAAAACTAATGAATCAAATCTTAATGACAGGAAAATATCATTGCATTAACCTATTTATGATCCAAATTTCATAGGAAATTGCCTCTTTTCGATCATCGTGCATATCGATCACATCTTTCCATCAGCTATACCATTGACTAACATAAATGAAATAGAAACAGAGGTATGATCATAAGGTATTTATTCCCAGGAGGTAACAAAAATAAAAAATTGTGATCATAAATACTTGACATAAATAAGAGGGAAAGAACAAATATAAATTTTACCAATAAGGATACTTATGTCTTAATCTCCAATTGCTACGAAATGGTTAAAAATTGATAGAAGTTTATGTTTATAAACCTGCCAAGAAAACCTCTTTCCACTGGTGTCTACTACAAAATCTATCATCACAAGGACAGTTTATGGTTCATCCTTCCTTCTCGTGGTCTCCCATCAACATGGCCAGTGTATCCTGCTACTGAACCGGCGATAAGCTTAGGTCTGCTATCTGCGTTGTTTTTCAGAAGACACCAACCAATAATCAATACAGAAATCAGAAAAATGAAATGAAATTTTTTCAAATATTTACAAACTTTAAACTCGAGGTCCGTACTAACAAAAAGTTAAATGCAATGAAGTTAAATGGAGGCAACAAGTTAAATTTGATGTTTTTGAAAACCATTATCGGTCTACTTACACTGGAGGGAAAAGAAAGTTAAAAAGAACAAGATATATAGTGACTGAAACCATATATTTAATTTGCACCAATATTAATTCAAGCTTGGGACTCATGAATAGAAAACACCTAATCTGATGCTATAGAGGTTGTCAACAACTTTTCCATACGACTTTCAAGTGGTCTATCAATTGTTCATTTCACTGTAGATGTATTACGTACATAATCACCTTCATTTTCTCTTGAAAGTTGAAAGCTATTTCCTGATTGCTAGATGTTCCAGTCAATGCATTAACATTGTTTTGAAGAGATTCAGGTGCAAGTCTCATGTTCAACATGAGCTTAGTTCCTGATTGCTATAAGCATGATAAAGCAATGTTACAGTTATTAATTAGTTGAACTACTCCAGGCTTCAAAGCAAAGACATGAACTTATATAGTTATTAATTAGTAAATTAAAATAATGGCATTGTGAACTATTTGCATGATCTGCTGCTGATAGAAGTTAAACGTTGCAAGTGAATACAGGTATAATGCACTACTTTTACCTTTAAAGAGGAAAAGATGTAAAGCACTCAAAGATCATTTAACATATGCACAAATAACTACCACTCTGATGCTATTGGCAATGAATTTAGAAGTGAACCTAATAAAAAAACTACCACTCTGATGCTGATTCCAACTTAGATACTCTAGTTTTAAACCAATCAGTAAAGTCCTTGCTGTGCTTTTGAGCTCCCGTCCATTTATTTGTTCTGCCTCTTTTTCTTGACTGATTCTCAATCAAAAGTTTATGTTCACTGCATAACAATACAAAATACATAGGTCTATAAAGTGAAATATGGACAACAACATTAAATAAGAAGTAATATTTAAGTAATGAATCATACCGTATATAATTATCAACTTCATTGTTATCACAATTGTACAAGGCATATCGATGTGCATTAACCCAGTCAACATTATCTAATGTAAATGCTTTGCCCTTTCTTTTCCTCTTTCCTCCCAATGGATGACCTATCTTAGGAAAAATTGGCGATGTCTCTTCTGCAACATCAACTCTCTCATACATACTTGTGTATCTATTAAATCTTGTCTTGACACCATCATGCATATATAATGAGCAAAAAGTTAGGGACTCTTCAGCTAAATATCCTTCTGCTATGGAACCTTCAGGAGCACTTCTATTACGCACATATGACTTTAATCTACAAAGATATCTCTCTGTTGGGTACATCCAGAAGTAGTTGACTGGCCCACAATCCAAAATTTGTTGAACTAAATGAACAGGAAGATGAACCATGATGTCAAAGAAACTTGGTGGAAATATTTTCTCAAGTTGACAAAGTATCTCTACGATCTCAGACTGCAAGGATTTAAGTTCAACTGGCTTGAGAACTTTGCTGCATAAACCCTTGAAGAAAGCACCTAATCTGATGAGAGGAATAGCAACACTCCTAGGCAAACTTCTTCTTAATGCAACTTGAAGTAAATATTGCATGAGAAAATGAGCATCATGAGTCTTATACCCAGATATTTTCTTCTCCCTCACATTTACACATCTTGAGATATTTGATGCACAACCATGAGGCACTTTTGCATCTGCCAACACTTTGCAAAACATTTCTTTTTCCTGTGATGTCATAGAAAAGCAAGCTTTCACAAATGTAACACGACGACCATCAGGCGACTGCACAGGATGAAGATCTCGTCTTATGCCCATTTTTTGTAAGTCAAAGCGAGCTTTAACATGATCCTTCGTCTTTCCTGGAATGTCTAACAATGTGCCAATAATATTGTCACAAACATTCTTCTCAATATGCATTAAATCTAGCATGTGACGATATCTATTATGCTCCCAATAAGGTAAATCAAAAAATACTGACCTTTTCTTCCACGGACAATTTCTATTTTCTTTTTTCTTTTGCTTTTTTCCAAATTCATTGACAAAATCAGATAATTCATCTATAATTTCAGTCCCAGACAGTGATATCGGTTCTCTTCCAAGCTCAATGTCACCATTAAACGATCTTTTATTAAATCGCCATGGGTGGTCATCTTTTAAAAATCTACGATGACCCATATAACACATCTTCTTGCTATATTTTAAATACTCAGAGCATGTATTATAATTGCAATAAGGACAAGCCAACCTGCCTTTAGTACTCCATCCGGACAACATTGCGTATCCTGGGAAGTCACTAACTATCCAAAGCAAAGCTACACGCAATTTAAATGATTGTTTAATAGAAGCATCATATGTAAGCAATCCAACTTCCCACAACTCTTTCAATTCATCAATCAGTGGCTGCAAGTATATGTCAATGTTGTTGCCAGGGGATTGAGGACCAGGAATAAGTAGAGATAGCATGAAATATTCTGCCTTCAAGCACATCCATGGCTGTAAATTATAATTGATTAAGATAACTGGCCATGTACTATGCGCAATACTCATTGTTCGAAAGGGGTTAAATCCATCACTAGCAAGCCCTAATCTCACATTACGAGGGTCTAATGCGAACTCTGGATGCTTTTCATCAAAGTCTTTCCAAGCTTTACCATCAGCCGGATGCCTTAGAATCCCATCCTCGATGCGCTCCTTAGAATGCCAACTCATAGATTTAGCAGTTTGAGAACACATAAATAGTCTTTGAACTCTAGGTTTTAAAGGAAAGTACCTCAAAACCTTTACTAGAATATTATGCACCTTTTTAGTTGGTTGATTGGAGTCATTTGCTGCATCATCCTTCTTTGGCTTCCACCGAGAAGCACCACAACTACTACACTTATTCAGTTTCCCATTTACATTTCCATAGAATAGCATACAATCGTTAGAGCACGCATGTATTTTTTCATAATCGAGACCTAAGTCCTTGACAATCCTTTTGGCTTCATAAAAAGACTTTGGCAACTTTATGTCTGGAATTGCTTCCCTCCACAAGGTCAGAGAATCATCAAATGCCTCATTGCTTAGTCCATGTATGCACTTATGCAAGTATAATCGAATTATGAAAGAGAGTTTGGAAAAAGTTTTGCATCCTGGGAATAACTCTTGTTGGCCTTCTTCCACTAACTTATAAAATTTCTTAGCATCCTCGGTCAATTCCTCTGTGCCTTCCTTTATGTCTTCTTCATCGTTATCTGAAAACTCTTCTATTGTGCCTCTAAAAATATCATGTAGTAATCCGCCTACATCATCATGAGTACGTGCATCATCATCATCACTCTCGCTATGGACGTTCAATCTTGATGGCAAATCCTCACCATGGAAAACCCATTTGTAATAATTATCTATAAAACCCTTGACAATTAAGTGATTGCAGACAGTATTTCGCTGATGCCAACAACGATTAAAACAACCACGACAAGGACAACATATTTCATTCCCTTTAGCTGCTTTTGCAAATGCTTTATCAAGAAAGTCATTCACTTTTTCAATGTACTCGGCACTTACGCGAGAAGTATTATACATCCAACCTCTATCTCTATCCATAATTTGTATCTGCTAGAGAAAAGTAAATATATTGAGACATCAATAATATATATCCTAGCAACAATCATTACAATGCAATTGCTAGTTGAATGCATCTATAGTTGATTGGTTCAGTTTTAAAATTTTACAATTTGAGTTCTTGAGTGTTTGTTTTTAGGAATCAGGTCCTTTTTGAATTGGGTTAATTAGGGGGCCACCCCTGCAGCGCTATTATTGAACATAGACTCCCTGAGTGAATTTTTTTTCTCACTCACCGTCAGAGGGTATATTTGTAAAACAAAAACAAAATTTCTCTTTCTCTGAGAATTAAAGAGTTAAAAAAGTTTTCAGTCAAGGTCTATGCAGCTAGAATTACAGAGCTTCTAAGGGGATACTATAGGGGGTCTACGGAAACTAATCTATTTGTAATTATTGTGGATTAGTTACAACCTTAAATTCTATTGCTGCCTGAAAAAAGTTTCAACTGCAAATACCCCCAAATTTGTAAACAAGTCATCAATTGCAACCGAAGGATATTTTACGACTGTGATTGCAACCGCATTTATAAGTCGTCATGAGGCAAACAACTGCTACTGACACAACCAAAAAAACAAAGCCCTAATTTGTAAAATCAAATAAAATTTTCATTAAATAGAGAAAAAAAATTGAAACCCTAGGTTTGATGACTAAAAATGAGAGAGATATACCCCAAATCACAAGATGATAGAGAGGGGATAGCGACGAGAGTCGCGGCTGACGGGGGAGGCGCGGCGAACTGATAAAGATCAGGTGGCAAGCGACGAACAGAGGCGTCGACGAAAGGAAAAACGAGAGCGGAGAGGAGTGGCGGACGGCGGTTCTGAGAGGAGAGGAGTGGCGGACGGCGGACGCGGTTCCAAGAGGATTCGACGAGAGCGGAGAAAACCCTAGACAAATGTAATCAAAACAAGATTAGCATAAAAAGATAACTTGGATCTTTAACTCAAGGCGGTTAGACCTTAAATCAAAGAGCACCAAGCTCTGATACCAATTGTTAGACCCTAGAGGGGGGTGATTAGGGTCTTATGCTAATCTAATCCGATTAAATGCCAATTAAAATAAATTAACAAGTTATCCTAGCAAGTATGAGATACAACAAGATATGTAAGCTAGGATAAGTAATATGAACAAGAGATATATCCTAACAAAGAGATATAGGCAAAGTATGTGCAAGGATATATAAACAACACAAGGGTAAACAATCTAAACAAGATAGTGGATGAAATAAGATAGTGGATGATATAAATAATGAGCTAATGACAATGGCGATAAGAAATATAAACACAAGTATAAATAAACGCCAAAGCACACTCAAACACAAGATATGATCACGGAGTTCGGACCTTCCGTCCTACGTCTCCGCTCCCCACTCCCGGGAAGAAATCCACTAACACAATCCGGTTTGGAAGCCGGAACTTCTTCTACACACTCGGTTTTCTAGCTAACCGAAAACTCTACAACTCACACTCTTGCAATCACACTCTACACCCACTAAGTGTTGGACCTAGCCGTGTCTCCCTCAAGTGCTCGGTTACAACCTCTCCCTAGGCACGTCAACCGACGCCACTCCTCTTGGGACGATCCCCGACTCTCACCACACACTTCTCACTCGGTGTACAAGTGTATTACAAAGTGATTTCACAATTAAGCACAAATACAGTAAGTGATTGTTCTCTACTATGGATGAGAACACAATGAAAGCACAACTCAAAGTTACAATCTCTCACCACCCAACTATACTATGTATGTAAATACTACAAGCTCAATGTGGGTGTGTGTAACAATGAGTAAAATAAAATCTAACTCAATTAGCAAATTAGCAATAATAAGAATATGAAAATCAATAATGAAATTGCTAGAGAAAAGAGTTAGAAAACTTCTCTATAAACACAAAGAAGAGGATGAAGAGGATTGAGAATGAATCTCTCAATCTGCAGTGAAAACTTCCTCCTTTGTAAACAAAAACCCAAACTCAACCAAACAGTAAAACCCTAAACCCTTGCTTAAACTTTTCTTTTCTTTTAAAACATTTCTTGGTTAGCTTGAGAGTTGAAGACAATGGGGTATTTATACCCTCTCACAACTCAGCCAAAAACCCCAAGCCAAAGGACAACAAAGCCCCCAGAAAGCTCCTCAGAAAAGTAGCCGTTGTGCCCAACGGTGTCGGTCGACCGGAAATTTCGTCGGTCGACCGACGGAGAGCAAAAACACGAAGAAGCAATTCTGAACCATCGTCGGTCGACCGGTGCGGTCGACCG